CATAGCTTGATTGATAGGGAGGAACTTCCCAGTACTTTTCCCTCTAGAAGGTTCAACCGAGAAAGTGCGAATACGACTGCCCTTTGTCCACTCTTTCTCCTCTATATCGTTCTTGAATTAGAATAAAGTGGTACCAGAGGTGAAAATTATGCTCAAAACCATTTTAAAAATTTCCGTTTGATAATTTTCAAAAATCAATACGGAAATGATGCTTGTAGAGGAAAACACATAACGCCAACCCAAATCTGTTCTGTCCTTCTATCTTGTAAAATGTTATCTTAGAAGAATTTGAGAGTATTTCTTCATAAACAAGATTTGCACCTTTTCTGAAAAGCGCGTTAGGTAGAAATTATTACGAATACATGGGTGCTGCAGCGATAAGTGGATTTTCGACGAAGCAAGATCAAAGTTCCGGATAATTGCCCACGCCAATCTTTTTTGCATATCTTTTCTTCCATACGAATTTATAGAAGTCAATTTGCACTTGCTTGAAGTCCTCAGCAACATGGCATTGAGCTGAGAAAAAACGCTTCCTAGAATAGGCTGCCTAGACATACAATTCACCACAAATGTAAAAGGCTTTTTAAAAAGGTTGTCCGACATTACTCGTCGCTCTTGTTTCTAGAATCTTTCAATTGCACGTGCTCACAAATGGACCCCGAATCGTACCGATAACTAAAGAGTTCTTTATGAATTGCGAGTGATAATTAGCTGTAATTTTCCAGATTAGCCCTTAAAATTAAAAAATCTAAGAATCGCCAAGAACTTTTTTTGATGAACATCTATTTCATGATTGCCACCCAATACTTTTGCGATATGGATGGAAGAAAATTTACCTAATTGTAAGTAAAAACTACTACGAGACTTAAGGAAGCTGGATTAGGTGCTCCAATTAGCAATATATCAATGAGGAGATGATGTTTATAGTATTTTATGGTTTATATCAAGTTAAGTACAGAAAAAAAAAGGCTGAACACCTAAAATCCTGCTGTTACAACTCCCATATACTTCAAACTTAAATTAATTAAGGCAAACGAGAAGTCAAAACTTTTCAGAGCGAGATTTTCACTAGGTCATTAAGAAGCAGGGACCACAGCATGTGGGTGTGACTGCACGCACTACTTGAATATATCTATTGGCAGTCATGAGATGTAAATTTATGATCAGATGTACTTTGTAAGCGAGGGGGTGAGCTTTCTTGAGTTTCTGTAATTTACAAGTGTATTTAAAGTATAATCTAGTAAATTTATTTCATAGTATACTTCTCCCATGATTGCTGAAACAAATTTTGGGTTCCTTCGAGAAGACTCAAAACGTAGCTCAACACTAATGATTTTCAGCTCATTAGTTCTAAGTTTTCAGTAGCTTTTTCACTGCAATGCCAAGTAGGGGCCAAAAACATGCCGCAGAGTAAGTCGTTTGAATGACTTTCAATTCTAAAGCGCTACAGCCGCTCAGAAGTTTTGCATAGATTTCGAAAAAACCCAAGTTTTTTGAGCGCTGCGTGCAGACTGCGCGAGAGGAAAAAATAGGCTTTTGTGGCTGCAAAATAGAGAGGAACTGACCTGGTGCATGGGTTTCCGACGAATCCAAGTGCACATTTGGGACAGATTCACGTCTCGGGGAAAAACGAGCGGTCAAAAGGGTACGAAATTGTTGCGTATAGCCGGAGACGCGTAGAATGTCGGAGGAGACCTAGAAAATATAAATTTAGGGTAAATTTTTCAATAGTTAGTCAATTTGTAAGCTTTCTCTCATATCCTCTCCTTTCACACTTAGATTTTCAAGGAAATTTTTTGATCCTTCCACCAAATTCGTTATTTCCTCATTGAACCGAAACCTTTCAGCTATTGTGAACTATTTTGGTAAATTAATGTTCAAACTTACCTCTGGTATACGTCCAGTTTTATAATCTTTGCTCATAATCAATAGAAAAAGTGTTTAGAAAGTTGGTAGCAACTTGTGAATACGTCGGTTTAGCAGCTTTTCCCGGGACTAATTAA